GGTATTAAAAAGTTCCATAATATATATATATATATATTATCATAGCTCGATAATATTATTCTAATAACAATGTTTTTAATAAGTTGTTTAGTGTCAATCAAAAGTTAAATCTGTTATTTTTTTGTAATTTCTCTATCGTTCATTTATTTTTCATAGTTAAATTTGTAAAATCATATCTAGAAATATAGATTTTATATTTTAGTACTGAATTTGCTATATGTAAATACATATATTAATACTTAGACTCACTTGAATACTAATCAACTATTGATGACATAGAAAATTACGTTGAGATTAGAGAAAAAAATTCCCGTCTTCTTTTCTTAAGAGATTTTTAGTTATAGTAGTAAGATGAAGTATGACATTACTTAATTGATAGCTATAGTTGATGGGTACGGATATTGAATTTAGAGAGAACTTTCTCCGGAACAAAAAAATCTTATATAAGCAAGGAAGAAAAGATAATTTTCTCTCTAATCAAATTGCATAAAAAATCATTTATTATCGAACACAAGTATATTAATGTCAAATTTACTTAAAATTTTTTTTCGTCTTTGAAAATCTTTCATATTAACTATTTTCTTTATATTCCAAGACAAAATATTCACCTATCGAATAACAACAGAAAAAATATATACGAGAAAAAGATGTTATGTATCTATAGGAATAATAACTAATTTATTATTTTGCTTTGTCTCATTATTTATCATAGACTTGCTAAATGATTACTTGTCATCATATTATCAGAAAATTTGATAAATACTAAATGTTTTCTATTATTATAAACTATGGTAATCAAAGGATAATTTTAGTCTTTAAGAAAACATGCATAAACAAAGAAAAAAAGAATTTCCATTGAATAACAAAGAGAAAAGGTATGTTGTTTATTCTAGATAACCGGTTAAAATCAAGAAACAAAAACAAACAGAAGAAAACTAACATTGCATCTTTTTCTTATTCATTTAAAACTTTCACACCAATTATCTGACATCATTTCACTTTTTTTTCATTTTTCTTCATATTTGTTTGTATTGTAAGTGAGCATAGAAGTTTAATAAGAATATATCCATGACAAATATGTAACATTAAACTACTACTAAATGTTGACGGATACGTATTCCATGATGATTCAATTAAACCAAGTATTAAAAGACTATGAAAAACAAAAAGTAGTTTTTGAATCAATTTTAAATAATTAACATTATTATTTAAAATAACTTACTTAACAATATCTTTTGAATTTGTACTCCAGAATAAATGATATAACATATGATAATACCAAATGTAAAATTGATAATGAAGTGAACGACAAAAACAAATACCAATAAAGTTTGAATAGAACATAAATGTTATTATTGTATCATCTGATAAAATATAATTATGATGATAATTAAGAAGTTCATTAAATTTTTTTATATTTCTATTGAATATGATAATGATACAAAATAAAAATAAAAATAATATTTCGATTTTTATTTAACTTACTTTAACCATTGATAACGACAAACATAGAATAAAATTAATATATGTATTAGTAATAAACTTAAATGAAAATAACGATTAAGAAATATATGTTCAGGTATTAAACGCCAATTTACAGTCCATATATAGAAAAATTGACGGCCAAGATCAAATGAACGAATAATATAAGCCATAGGATTTGATAAAAGAAATGGTATAGCAAATATTAACTATAATTATTTAATTATAATAAAAATATCAAGTAGAAAAAAATTCAAATTTTACTTGTAATAAACCACAATAGAATATATATTTAAATGTTTGACTAAGTCCAACTGAAAGTAGAAGAATAAAAAAAAGTCCTGGTGCCATTAATAAAATATTCATTTTAATTGATACAGCCAAACTAAAACATGAATAATAATTAAAAGAATGATTAACTTTTAAATCATACCTATAAAGAATGCAAGCTATAGTCCATTGTCGACGAAGAAGAAACACAATTGAAATATATAAAAATGTCATCGCAATAGGATCATTAAAAAGTCGAAGGACAAAAATTGAATGAATACGATAGGCTGATAAACACATAAATATATATGCATAAGGTGGAACCTAGGAAAAAAGTCATATAAATTCCATCTAATTACTTTAATGCATAGTTTAAAAATTTTGCCTTTAATATTGTTCTCATTATAGCGACTCAATAGTTTTCTTGTTAGTCTTTATTATAAAACTGTATAAAAATATTATGTTCAAAATACTATAAAATAAAAGCTCAAATATTAAGAACATATTTGACTGAAAAAGTATCTTGTATTCAATTTTCGAAATATTTCGACACGCTATGTGTGAACGTAAAGAATGCGATTTGGGCTTCCTAATGGTATCAAAATATTTTAGTTATAAAACTTTAGGTTCTATAAGAAACAGTTCTCTTCTGTGTTATATAATATGCTTTGGTAGAGACCTTACTAAAATTGAAGTTTTGCTAATTTCGATTGCTAGAAGAAACATAAATCGATAAAAGACAGAAAATAACGTATACTTTCTTAATAGATAAAGATTTTCTTCTGATTTTTAGAAGTATGCAGAGAACTCTTTCAGCCGAGCATGTTCTTAATAGTGTTTAACCTTCGGCAAATGCTTTGGTACAGCTTGTTCTTTCTAACAAGTCTGCACGACAAGTTATTGTCACGCTATGCTGAAAACAAAATTAAGGCAGAACTTTTGCATCATTCGTTAAAAAAGATAACAAAATAAATACCTTAGCACTTCGATAATAAATATAGAAAACAGCTGAGATCATAATTAAATAAAGACCAGCAAATAGATATTGTGCAAGACGAATATTATTACCAAAATTGGTTATATAATAAAATATAAGATAAATATAAACGAAACCAGCTGGATAACTATATAGAAAATATTTTGAAATCTACTTTTTTTTTTAATGTTAATTATACTTACACAAGAGGTCCAGTATCACCTTTTAATTTATAATAATCAAATGTACCATTAACAACACCTTCAACTTCTTGCATATATGCTTGCCAATCAATTTCTGTATATTTTGTTTTTTTTATAATAAAAATATTAAGAAATATTTCCAAAATAAAAAGACCAGCCATAATATAAATGCATTTATTTGGATTTATAAGAAGATCCTTGTAGAAAGATAAATTTAGAAATTGTTTTAATTGTAATTTGAATCGTGTTGAAAATTTTGATGCAGATAAGCTATTTTTATTTGATGATCGTGATTGTGGTGGAGGCATTATTATTTTTTTTTTTATTTATTTATAGTTTAATATGAACGCTCGATTTTACGTGAATGAATTTGAAGGTCCCAAAAATGACACGATATACAATATTCATGGAATCACAATAAATATTGGATTTTAGAAATCATCGAATGATAAATAGAAGAAATAGAGATGGCGACACACATTATTTTGTCATTATGTGTTAACAAAATGAAAGTTTAACTAAGCAAAAAAATAAAGGTTTCTTTATGTTTATTCAGCTTTCTAATTTAAGCATAGTACTAAGAAGTTACGTGGCCCAAGCTATTCACATGATATAAATGGAAATAATAATAATGGCTGTTGTGTAACGTTAATAATTTACTTTAAAAGATTGCGTCATGACTACATATGCTTATTTCCATTTGAATGACAAGGTTTTTCTTTTCAATTAGTCAAAAATACAAGTCTAAAATTGATTTTTATATTAACAAAATGAATGATATAATTAACTTAATCGTCATGACTACCAATACACATTAGAAAAAAGAGGAGCTTGATAATCTCAACAAAGATGCTTTTTTTATTATGTTAAATTTCTAGCCGCATTTGTTTTTATAGACAATGGAATGTATCTTGATCAAAGCGGAACATATGTAAAGAATTTATGGTAATTTTAGTATACATAAATACTTGGCCCATTTGCAAATGTTAATATTAATAACAGTTGCATCAAACATACATCGTTGTAGAGCAGTAGCACAAGATAAGAGTATGAAATATTGGTTCAAATCTGATTAATATTATGTAACAAATACAGCAGATGGAAAGAAAAGAGCCTAATGGATGTGAAATCTAACACTTATTTTGATTATGACATGATGTGATATTAATGTATTCCATAATGTTTGTTTCTTTTATGACATATAATAAATATAGGACAAAGAATATATAAAGAGAATAGATATATATCAAATTTTTTCATTCGATTTTCTGTTAGTTAAATAAAAACTTCGATACAGTAAAAAAATATTGAAAATTACTTTAATTTCAAAATTTAGAATTTCGTCTTAATAAATAAAGTCCAACAAGAAAACGAAAAGTAATAGACTATATAAAAAATATGTAGTTAGTAATTATGATCATATTCTTTTCTTATTATTCATCAAAAGCTTAGTAATAATTTAAAAGTATTCAACGAATTCTTTACATCCATGCTTCTATATGACTGAACATGATAAGCTGATCATTAACCACATTCATTTTAGTTAGTGTTAGATTCAACAAGTTTTACTACTAACATTTAACATTTGATTCTATCTGAATAAAAAAAAAACATATTGTACAATAAACATATCTTATTTGACTTCTATCAGTGAAGTGAAGAATATTATTTCTATTTAAACGTTTTAATCATAACCTTGACAGATAACAAAAAGTTATTGCAACACATCATACATATGGTGTAAGCATTCTCTTGACGAGTGATACATCTTACTTATCGATAACGAGAGTTTCAATCACAATGTTGTCCAACAACCGAACCAAATGGCCTCAACAACACAATAAGGAAAAAACCTTTCGAAAATATCTGAAAGCATAAATAGAAGAGAAAGCAGAGAAACAATATATAACATAAGACAAATATAGTGTGACATCTGCATATTTTTCTTTCTATTTTGCTTCTTTTATCAGCGAGTGTACAGCAGCGTGTCAAATGTCATTACATACCAGGTAAAGCACGAACAATACAAATAAAATATTTTACGTTCTACTGCTCAAGAATCACTATTAATGGAATTATCATCGATACAAGGTAATAAAAAATCATCAGTTGCTACACAACTATTAATTCATCAACAACCGACTGATCAATCCGGTGGCTCGTGTCCAATATGTTTCGAATTATTCAACAATGATCGTTGTAGAGAAGTGTTTACATCTTGTGCTCATTCGTTTTGTGAAATCTGTTTACAAAAAACATTAAAAATAAAACCGTTTTGTCCTATTTGTCGTCAGTATCAATCACAGGAAAAACACAATGATCAACATTTCGCACCAATACAACTCGATCAAAATATACCTTGGAATCCACAAGTAGTGCGTGCTTACTTCGGCGAAGAAATTATAGATGAAAATGGAAGACGAATGAGATCTGTGTATCTCTCTAATGGTGAACTTACATGTATTCGTGTTAGTCGTGATGCCAGAATTAATGTTTCTAATTGTGATATCGTTATAAACGGAAAGCAAGTTCAAAATTCATCTGATTGTAATCAACAGTAAATATTCCTTGACAAGGATCTTTTGTTCCATCTTCCTTATCTAAAATCCTATCAGTAATGATTCTAAATAATAAATTAACAAGTCAATTAAAAAGACTATTTGAACTTTTATTAAAGAAAAATAAATTAAAATAAGGAAAAAACAAAAAAAAATTAAGTGTTTGTTGATGTTTGTGTTGTTAGAATAGCTTGTTTCTTTTGCTTGTTACTATGACGTCGATTTTTAAACCATTGCTAAAAAAAAAAGATAATAGACAACATGTTAATAGCTGATTAACAAAATATATTTACAAAAACTTACACGAACTTTTTCAATAGGAGCTTTCAATTGTACAGCCAATTGTTGAAGAGCATCCGTTGATGGATGAGGATCACGAATGAATGCTTGATGAAGTATTTGAATTTCATCCTTTTTAAAACATTGATGTCGACGAAGAGGTGTGCGATCAAAGCTAGAATATACCGTAGCCTCTAGGAAAAACAAAAACATACACATTAACAAAAAGAACGATTATACTCTTTGCACTGAAAGCTTAACATAGGAATGAATCTCACTTGATTAACATTTCTTATCGATTTAAAAAAAAAAAGCTCTGATACATACGTTGTTGAATACAAGGAGAATACACTTGCGATTCTTCTTGTTGATAATAAGCATATGGAACAGATGAGATATTCATTGATGATAACGTTGTAGGTGTATAAAAAGTATGAGGTGAATGAACAGGACAAGGAGGTTGCAACAGAGGCGAATAAATATATGTAGATGCATATGGTAATGAATATTCGAAAGGATAATGGTGTGATGATGAATATTCATTCGAGGAAGGTGAAAAGTAGCTATTGTTCATGTTTATTTAGTAAATGTTAAACATAAAATTTGAATAGTAGAAAACGCTTAACTTACATTTCTTTTATATTGTGGTATATTCTGTATTGAAATGATAAATGACGAATTGTTATACATTTAATGAGTAATGTCTCATTTCTCAGAACAGACTGTATAACAATGTTCTTAATTAATACTCGTCATTAGAGAACATTTTAATCATTATCATAGTAATTAGTATCTAATATACATATATGATTATTAACGATATGATATTATGAACTAACGAAAATAAAAATCAGTCGATTCCCCTATTACCGATGTTTTTTATTTAAACAAAAGAAAAAAAAAAAGAAACAAAGAATAATGAAGTTTACAGGGAAATTACTGAATATTGCAAAGATGTCGAATGGATAATCGTGTGTGTTTTCTTGTTTCATTAAAGATTTCTGGTTTCAAATCATAATTAAAAGAAACATCTTGAAAATAACTTTCTGATGATGATGATGATGATGATGATGATATATCAGTAATATTATTTTCTGAATAATCATTAATACTGTTAAGACATGATCGAAAACTACTATGTATTGAAATAGAATCACTATCACCATCGTCATCGAAAGTGGCCATAGACGATATATCAAATTCATATGAATGATAATCAAATTTATTATTAGTTTTTTGACGTGAATAAGCCAGTAAAGGTGTTGATGGATATCGATTTGCTGATTGCGGTGAAAGTATATTTTGTGATACTTCATAATTTGAAAATGAATGAGGAAAAATATTCTTTTTTTGATTTAATCTATATGACTTTTGTTGGATTTTATCATCATGAAAAGAAGAATTTGAACGATGCATATTTGTTAATTTCGTTGAAGAATGGTAATCATTTTGATTGATTGATTGTAAAGAAGAGCGGTTTTGTAATGGTGATTCAATAATAACAGGTAAATGAGAATGATAATTATGATCAAGCTATAGTTTTATAATTTTATAGAAGTTTAAGTTCTAAATAATAGTAATGACTTACTTGACATTGCATTTGTTTATTTACTATATTTGAATGAATTTGTTTATCTTCAAATGAATGAATTTGTAGAGCATCGTTTGATTTCCATGACCATGAGCCTGATTTTTTCCAAGATGATGATGTAGTTGAGAGTAATGGTTTATATTTATTATTAACAATATTTGTATTGTCTGGATCGTTCTGTTTGACAAATGATTGAATCTCAGGCAATGAAATGTATGATGATATGTGAGTATCGAATGGCTGTTCAAATTGATTAATAGATGATGTTTGTCGAGAATATGATGGTAAATCACGAAAAGTAAATTTTGGAATAGGTCCATTATCTTAATCAAATAAAATGAGAAAACAGAATAAAACTCAATATTATATATTCTAGACGATTAAAATTATATTTACGATTAAGAAAAAGACGACGTTTTTGTTTGGGTATTTTATCAATAGTTTGTAATGATGATTGATGAATATTTTGTAAATGGCCACTGCGTCGAAGTCGAACAACAGAATCATTTAATGATGTAGGTGTTAAAGATGAATTTGATAATCGAAAGCGATGTTTAATCATTTGCCGCCATTCTTGTTGAACTTTTGGTAGTTGTTTAGTAGATGATACAATATTTATTAAAGGTTGAGAAGATGAAAAACAAGAGAAATTTTCATCATTTAATTGTTGTTGCATTTCCGAATTAAGATCAACACTACCAGCCATTGTTTTTTGATGATCACGTTCAAGTGATGAAGATATTTGTTTGAGATCAGAAAATGTCTCCAATGGAATATCCAAACATGTGAGAGAATGTGTTTTTAATTTAATATTCAATTTTGATGGTAAAATTTGAGAATCAAGCAATAATGTGTGACTTTTTGGTAATTGCTGTGTAGAATGAATAGTATCACAAAGAATCTTCATTTTCTTGTTCTCTTTCATTGATATATGTTGTCCATGAATAAAGACTAATACCTTTATTAATGTGTATAAAAATGAACTCCTTTTCTTTTTACAGTTCAATAATAATGATAGTAATGGTCATTTTTATCATTTCTTTTTAAAATGAATAAGGCGGCTACAACTAATAAATCGGGGAGTGATATATGTAAGTGATCTTTTTTCGTTTATGTCTAGAAAAGTAAATATGCGATGATATTGAACAGACGTTTGGTCAAAATACGTATGTTCAATAAATGATCATTTTATATTCATAACACTTCAGACAGATTTATGTAAGTCAAAACAGTATGCAATTTATCAGTTGACTCAAAGCAATATTACAATTGTCAGTTGGATTCTTTTTTTTCTTTTTTGATAAGAAATAAAGCACTTTAATGAAATATAATGATACCATAAATTAATACATGTCATAGTAGTTGATACAAAAAAAAAATAGGTTCATAGAAAAGTCAAGGATTGATTATCAATTTTTGATAATCAATATTAGACTAATGTTCAAGTCAGAATTAAAGGAGGATGGTTGTAAGCTCGATAGCTCGACAACGACAACAGTTAGAGACTTGCGATTTTTAGCAATCGAAAGAGAAAAATTTCGGGCACTTTTTTGTCTGATGCTATATAAGAGATAAATTCTTTCAAAACATCATCAATTTCTCAAAATAGTCAAAAAAAGTGCATGAAAACAGTGTTTCAGGAAAAAGAAATTTTAATAAAAATTAATAGAATTCTATATAATCTGATCGAAGAGATACGCGATTTCATTTGCTTAACATTGAGATATTAGAAGATAATCATCTTACTCGCCCTTGAACTATATATTTGAAATTCCTTATTCACAAGCATATGTTAAAATCAAAATTGAATCGAAATGGAATACCATTTTTATACACTTTTTCGAATTTCTTTTGTGAAAATGATAGGTTTTAAAATAATTTCATCGTATATAGTATCAGACAAAAAGACGTCCCGAATTCTCCTCTTTTGATTGCTGAAAACCGTAGATTACTTACTGTTGTCCTCAAAATCATTCAAAGTCTCCTTATTATTAATATCTGAACAATTCATTTGTAAACAAAATTTCATAATTCATCGATAAAATTTTCATCCATTTTCCTTTGTACAATCAATACTTCAGAGAAATATTCATCTATAATAGTTTAACGTCTTTTGAGTACATCTACAGATACCTCTTACAAACTAAGAATGTCACACGATGTCGCTTTTATTAATGTCTTAAAAACGGTGAGTAATGTATATAATTTACTCAGTGTAACCAATAGAAAATCAAGGTGTAAAAAGACAATACTCGAGAACACAACAACAAAATGTTAATACGTGATTAGAGTTCAACAATTTGTATCGAATCAGCATTCGATAATTTGCCGACCAAACAAAACTCATTTATGTAAGTTGATGAATATATAAATTCTTATCATATTTTTTTTTCAGTGAACTATATCAATTATGTGAATACAGTTAGAATCTATATGATTTTGATATTTTCTTATCGAATGTGTTTGACCTTCCAGTTTCTATGTTAACATATGAACATGTTTACCTGACGAATTCTACAACCTTTTTATATACATTTAACTTTTTCAGTACACCTAAAGAATTAGAAATATATAATCTAATATAAAATAAATGATAGTTTTCTTTCCCATAAATTATGAATCATTATAAATATTAATAGAAGTTAAAATAATATATAAATACATAGTTTTCACGAGTATTATTTCATTTTTCGTTTTTAAATTATTCATCTATTTTAGGCTCGCATGGTTCAAAATAATCTAGTACTCAATCCATCCTTCATCCATTCAACGGTCTAATACATTGATGTAAATCAAAGTTTATTGATCTTCGATTATGCCAGCGCTTTGTCTAATACCCACACAAAAGACAAAATCAGCATAGATTCATTATTTTACGACACGAAATCAACGAACACCTTTCCAATCAGGATCAAGATTATACGTGGGATATTTCGACCTATAAATATTTATCATAGTTTACGAAGGAAATTCGAAGTTAAATGGCAAAGACATTAGTTTTGTTTCTTCGCTTTACCAATTTCATTCTGGAAATCAAATTCTTTTTTTGTGATCTTATTCAATTGAATAAGTGTATCAGATAGAAAACAGTCAATATACTTGAAATATATTCTTGGAATCGAATGAATCATAAACAATCACAACGAATAGATCTTTTTATTATAGAAAATGACTGAAATTATAATGCACAGTGCTTATCTGGATGATTAGAATACATTAAATCATATTGCCTGTATCAACAAGAACATCTAAGAATAAAAGTTAACATAAAATTTTATGAATAATAGTTCGTGTTTAAATAGATCAGTAAAGAATAATATCGGACATTAAACTAAATAATTTTCAAATCAATGCAAAGAAGCTTGTGAACTTCAAATTTTACTTTTATATATTGCAAAACCAACAAGTAATCATATAGATGTTGAAAAAAAAAATTAATACAGTTTTTCTTTTATTCAAACAAACATTTTTCTTTACTAAAAATTTCTTATCTTACGAATCTTCGAATTCATTTAAATTCAAAAAACAAAGTTAGTTTCTACTAAACCTTATAATCTAAATTCATTTATAATAGCTTCTGTAGCCAAACATTATTGACTATCATTATGATCTTCAATCTGAATGTTATTGTTGTTGTTATGATACTCTTAATCCTATTGGTAACAGTCTACTTTTCATACTGAAAAGACATCATTCTTGAATTCACACAGATATGAGAATATTTATGAGAATTATCAATATATTACTTATCAAAGTTTGCAAAAAACATTCCAATACAACAAATTTGCATGAATATGGTCAATTAAATAAGAATAAATAATTAGTTTCTGATGAATTCTTTTACATCAGTCTTACACATAGTATGTATTATGTCTAAACAAATATTGCAAGAGCTTTATTTTGAAATGAAATTTTACAGATAAAAAAAAACACTATTTTCATTCTCAAACAAAAGGCACTCGATCAATTAATCTTAGAGATGTGCGAATAATTAATATTTATTGCATATCTACCTTTCTTTATTCTTTGTTTTTGTAGTCTTACTTTCACAAAGAAGTAAAATAAGAATTTGTGATATCTCGACAAGAAAAATTCTTTCATCGCGTGCTTGTTGTTTAAGATTATGATAACAGAAAACCTTCTATAACATTATGAATTCATGTTACAAATTCTATCCCATAATAATAAGTGCTGAATCAATAGTTAAAATTAGGGGCGTAGTTAATGGGAGACGCATGTGGCGTAGTGCCCTCCTTGATTGTGAAACTTGTCTATGTTGCGTTCTTTCTACGCCCCTACCTTCAGTCGTGAGTTATACCTTCGATAAAATAAAGTGAAAGTACTAGATCAGTGCTCTCGCTGTTGAGCGTGCCGGAGATCTTTTCGAAACTATTATTATTCAATATGTTTCTAACCTGTGCTGCAAAAGTCCTTGAAAGAATGTTGAATTCTCTTATAACATATTGTTGATTTTCAAAGTCTCTGAAAGTCTTTTTTTGGAAACAACAATGTTTGATCTACAAATATTGTAGCATATATATATATTTACAGAATGAATCAGAAAAAGAGTAAGAAACCAAACACGCCTAAAAACCTTGCAACTTTACCAGCGAGCAATATCATGTTTTTATTTATGTGAATTTTTTGATGTGACAGAAATGAGAAAACACATTTGTTGATGATATTTATAGCATAAATAGTGCTTTCTTTCTGTAATAGTGTATTGGGAGCTATATTTACTTCTATTTTATATACAAAGGCAAGGGGGAACAAACTGATTTCATGATTTCGTGATTTCAGATGATTTCAAGTGATTTCAACTTGATTTCAGCTATTGAAATCAGTTTGTTCCCCCTTGGTTTCGACACAAAAAATATGTACATAGGTAGTGGAGACATTAATTAAAGCATGCGAAAACTCATATAAACGTCTGATTCATTATTTTTCAAGGCTTGTATCAGTTTAAATTTGTAGATTTCTCTTTACGTGAGAAGAATTATGAACTAGAGAACTTTTTAATGCCAATCAATTGTTCCATCAATCAAGCAAATTACTCATTATCTCTAAAGTAAACCTCTATTCAAAAAACATCGATCTCTGCAAAATTACATTTCATTCACTTTTCTCTGAAGATTACCACAAGTGTCAAAGTAAAAATACACAAAAACCACTTCTTATTCATTTTCTTCAACTACTAGGATCTACTATCATTCGTTTGATCATTGTATAACTAGTATGATTTCAGAATGTTCTTGGCGTTCCTAAAGTTCTGACAGCTCTTATAGTTTCATAGTTTCTGGGACTTCTTAGAATTGTATTTACTTGTTTTGGTGGCTTCATTTTTTAAAATTGATATTTAGGTTTCCAGACTTCAACAAGTTGTGTGCACACATTAAGAACTGAACATAAAATTGTTAAATCATCGAAATGGGGATCCGGAATTTCGTAAATAAGCCTTTCGTCAACAATTGGCAAAAGTCTTGTGAACATTCGTCAATATTGACGAAAATCAAGTGAACCTTCACCGCCGTTGGTGATAGTCAGCCCGAGCAGTCCATTAGTACTAACGGTAGCCGTTAAGTCATTCAACTATGGGCCAACGGTTACTGTGTATTCATCCAATTGGCAACATCGTAGGAGAAATTGTATGAGAATTGACAAGAGACAATCTCCTATATTAAATTTCTCTGCTTCATTGAATGAAAACCAGATTAAATTACGCCAATATCGGCAAAGTTCCATATGATTTTCGCCAATTGGTGAATGTTCACATGACTTTCGCCATCTGCGAAGGTCCGGTTGGCAAACTTCATACTACTCATTGAAGTTATCCAGAATGCAATAAACTAGTTCGACACGTAATGTCAAAAGAGATAATGGAACTTTATCAGGAATTGATATTTGTTTCCTTCGAACAGTATACTTCGTAAAGAGGAATGTCTGTTGAAAATTATCTTTCTTTATGTAGATGTGTTTATTGACAATGTGTCACATTCATACATTCATGGCTGTGCTATTTTTTCTCAAACAGAAAATTGTAATATATGCGATGCAATGAATGCAATGACAAAGCAAATTTACTCAACCAACTATATATATACAAGTTTTTTCAGCGTTATTTCATATAAGACTTTCAATTTTGTATTGTTGAATGAGCGTGGGGTCTGATTGTGGGTGTCTGATTACTTATATCCTCATTCTTACCTATTTTTTTATCATTGATAATATGCCAGATTTCTAACAAAAAATATTGACTCTCTATTCATTTCAATATATAATTTATTTATAATCGGCCGAGCGAAACTAAAGCATTGTTAAGAAACTATAAACGAAATTTCAATTATTTCTCTTCTTCACGTATACAAGCATGTGTTCCAAATACAAACAATGTGATTATTGATAAACAGAACTCTAATAAAATATTATCCCATTAGCACACAGACTTCTGCTATCAACAATGGTTTTATATCATTATAGACAAATGATCTTTTTAGGAGATTATTTTTGTCAAATTCAATAATATACTGCTTTTTCTAATCGCATTCAAACATAGATCATAGTTTAAAAGTTATTCAAACATGATATATTATTAATCACAAATTTGTATGAAGAACAAATATCAAATTCTCTGTTTCTTTCTCTAGCATGTGAGATTTTTATTTGCTATTCAAGAGAACAAAAGAACGATTATCAAACAAATAAACAAAAAAAAGTCAAGACAAGAAAAATAAGATACATATCTTTACATGCTAAGAACTTAAGATAGCATATCTATTTGTACATATATATGTACAATATAATATAATAACAAATACAATTTGTAATCAAGCGAAATAAAAAGAAATCTTTAGGATCATAGACAATGGGCACATACAAATAATCAGAGTAGATATTCAATATAATATTCATTTGCGTGTTCGTAACGGTTTTTTTGTTCGAGATTTTTTCTAAAAAAAACAAAAGAAAAGAATTTAGTATAAACAATGTATCTCTTTTTTTTTAAATTTAATTAACCTCATCTTCATCTTTGTCTGCATATGTCGGATTAGCAAAAAGACGTGTACGAAGATTATATTTTCCTTTAGGTGATGGAATTTTTTTCACAGTTGATGCAGCTGGAGTTGATAAAACAATTGGTGCTGGTGTTGTTGTTGTTGTTTTAATGATTGTCGGAGGCATACGTTGCGTTGGTGTGGATGAACCAAATGCTATTACAGTTGATTTTGCTTGTAAAACTCGATTAATTCGTGTTGAAGTTGTTAATGCTAAAATATTGAAAACAAATGAGATTTTCATTTATTATTTGAGTGTTTATAACAAAAACAAAAGAATTATACTTGGACTTGGTCGAAATAATGATTGAATACGTTTAAATGCTGACTGTTTAGGTGTAGTATTAATTGTATCAACTGATGAAACAACTTGTGTAGTTGTTGTTGAATTAACATCAATAGTAGCAAATGATGCTCTATCGAGTGATATATCTCTTTCAATAGTAGCATAAGTATGTGAAGGTGATTGTTGTTGAATAGTTATTGGTACTAATTCAATCGTTTGTTTTTTAGTTCGACCACGTACAACAGCTGTTTTAGGCTTAATTTTTATATCAGATGACGAATCAAAAATACCAATCTAAATAAAAAAAAGAGAAGCTGTTAGCACAATCCCTGTGGGCTTAAAATGTGACGCACAGTGCAACTGCTGTTGCTAATCATAGGATGATTATTTTATGATTTATTATACAACATATTTCTTCATCATTCTACGTTTTGACTCTTCAGAAATGCAATAAGGAAATATTTCATATGTTATAATGAGATATTATTGATATACGGTCTTTGATCGTCTATCAACAATATCTGTCACGGTCTGTGCATTGGAGAAAGGCGGGATTATCCACATTTTTATCTCTATACTTCAACATTCCTGTTAGATTGTGTTTCACAAAATGAAAAAGACATTTTTATCAAATAGAAAACAAATTTACATTTGATGATTTCTTTTTGGTTTGTTTGATTGGTAATTGAATAGTATTAGAAGAATTTGCTGTTGATCCATTACGTGTTATTCTTTGGGTTTGTTTTTCATTATTTTGTTCATCTTGTTGATGAATATTTAATGAAGTATTATTTGAACTAGCTGCTGATCGACTACGTGTAACACGTTTTGGTTTTTTAATTTCTTGTTCAAGTTGATTTTCATCATTAGTACGTCGTTTTGTTCGAGTAATAGATTGTTGTGTTTGAATACATGATTGATCTTGATTAGTTGTTCTTGAAATATCAGTATTAAATTTATTAAGTATTATATGTGAATTTGTTTTGATATTTTTATGCATTTCAATTAATTCTAATTGAAGTGCATCATATTTAACTTGTAAAGTTTTAAGATCATGTTTAGTTTGCGTAAAATCATATTGAACTTTTTGTAATTGTGTTTGTTCATGACGTAATTTATCTTCAAAACTTCGAGCTTTTTTTTCGGCATCTTGTTTTCGATAAAGTTCAAGGCCAAAATCACGTTTTAAACGTTGAATTTCATCTTGTAAAGTTTGTTCATATTCATTTGATTGATTTTTATTTTGATCGATTTCTTCAATAGTTTTTAAATGTTCACGTGTTAATTGTTCGAATTGTTGTTGAAGATTTTTTAGTTGTGTTTGTAATAAATCAATTTCATTACGTGAATGAAGATTGTTTTCTTTAAATTCTTTTTCTAATTTAAGTAATTTTTGACGATATTGTTTTTCAGTTATTATTAAATCATTATATAATTGTTGTGTACGATGATGATTATCTTCTTCAAGACGAAAATTTGTTAATAATGTTTCACATTTTTCAGATAACTAAAATATAAAGATATTTGAGAAATCAATCTACTTTAACTTACTGCTTGTTTTTCATTTGTTAATGTATCGATTTGTTCACGTTGATGAAGAAGATATTGAACAGTTTGAACTCGTTCTTTACTAAATTTAAATAAAAATGAGTAACAAGCTTGTCTACGCAATCCTTTCGAAGCTAAAATGTAGAACTGATGTGTGTTGATTACCTTCATCATACCAGTGTCTTATGCAACGTGAAAGCCGAAGAACGACGTCTCTCTAAAGATTGGGTTAACCCACCAGGAGCTTGTGACTCTTGTACTATGTGTCTGTACTCCCAAAAATAGTTATTCGCCTTTTCAAGGATAATCAATTACCAGAGAAATGACATCCTTTATTTATTTTTTAATTTCGAATAAAAACCTTCTTTTTGATGAAGCTCTATTGTTTGTTTGTCTTCTTGCTATTCGCTAGTTGGTTTCCATTTTCATATTTTGGTTTTCTTAATTTAAAAGCATTGTTCTAAACATTGATTTCCTGTTGTACATATCAATTATGTCTAGGGTAGGTCTCAACGCACTACTTTATATCGTGGTCTGTGCTAAAATAAAAAGCTACACTATTTCAAACATTCACCAACATGATCGAGTTATTCAAATTTTGGAGAAAGTCTAAATTTTTTTTTCTCAATGCTGTCAGATGCCTTTGTCAATTGCTTGAGAACTCTGGAAAAAAAGTTTGACACTTGTTCTTCTCGATTGCTATGGAAATGTACTCAATAACCGTTGGTCTTTCTTCCAGTTTCCCTGCTACGAAGAGAAAAGTCGCAAAACATTGGTTTAAAACTTTCTCTCACTATGTTTTTCTGCGGAAAACATAATGGGAGTTTCACAAAAAAATTAAACTATGAATTTGTACTTACTGTAATTGAATCATTAAAATTCGTCGATTCGATGCTTGTTTCTGTAACAAATCTAATGCTTTTTTCGTACAATATTTCCAATAGTTTATCTAGAATAAATATTTAAATATTATTTAATTTATATAAGTAAAATTCATTACCGATTTGGTATTAGTCGGAATAGTAAATGATGACCCATCGATCGATTGAATACCAATTTCTATTAAAACATAAGAAAATTATTCAATATAAATTGTATTATTCCAGTGAATGAATATTTCTTGTTAAATGAAAAAAAAACAATGGGAAATGATATCAATCAACATCGTTTTTCTTTAAAAGCATAGTAATATTTGACTGTTACAGAGATTAAATCATTATAGTTGATAACTAAAGAATATGAACAAGCAGCTAATTCGACTTTTTTTTGTTATTAAGAAAAGCAAAAAATAAATGAGAGCATCGAATTGATATAAAGATTAATGTAATAAATTATTAAGAATGTAGTAGAAGTTCTGTTTAAAATCAAATATTATCAAATTCAACGATATTTTCTCTATAATAGATCATATGAGCTTTCAGATATTTTGGAAGTTTGTGCTAAAACAGTTGATTTCTTCTGTACATATCAAACTCCTAAAAATCGGACTAATTTTGAAGTTTCTGAAAGAAAGCATTGTTTTTCTTCAAACATATCATCTCAGAATTCAGAATTTCATAATCAATATAAAATATATTATTATGAAAAATTTTACATGAAAATTCCTTGTTGTGATTCTTTCTGTGATATTTCAAGATAGACTGAAAATTTAGTGAAACAAGTATAATTCGAGAAGATAGGCCTAATGGCATGAATTGTTTTAGAGTTTTTATTTATATTACGAATCCTACTGGTGAACTGAAAAGAATGTCCCTGATAGGAGTTCTTTCGCGAATATGTTGAAAACTCTATTTAACCAAAGGCATTATACAGTCGCTTGAGATTTCTCTTATTAAAAGATTTAAAACTGAGCTATTACTAATAACGAAAAAAATTCTACTTTACAGTATTTTATAGAGATTTTCTTTTTTGGAGAGACGATTTATAACTCCCCGAAGGTGAACATTTGTTTTTTTCAACACAGACAAATAATATGCTATATAATAGCTACAAATTCTAGGAGACATCCCTTCAGCTCTCACGATGAATAAAGAACTGCTACTTTCTGGTCTTGATCAATGAGTTCATTTCAATGAAATATTTACCTTCAATTTCCTCATCAATATTAATAATATCTTTTTTATTCTTTTCTTTTAAAGGCCCATCTTTAACAAGACGTTTTGGACCTTTTTGTTTGGATTTTCGTTTTTGTCTTATCAAACCACCAGCGCCTGTTTTTGGTTCATTCGGTACAATAATTGTCTAGAAACAGAGAAAAAAAGATAACAAATTAACCAACAACAAAAGACCATGTTTAACAAACTTTTTGTGCTAATGCACAAAATTTTAATAAATCATTTGTTTGTGTAACAAACGCTGCACATGGATTAACATTACAACATATAATTGTTCGACCACGGCCAACAAAAAATGGACGAAATATACTTGTTAATATACTATTTCGATAGGGAACAAGCATTTGTTTTCTTAAAAGATTTAAATAAATATTATGCATAATTAAGTTTTTTTATTATTCATACTTAGTTGTTTGATTTTCATTTAATGTTCGAATACAATCTTTAAATGTCATTAAGGATGTATTTATATTACATGTTTCAGCAAGTTGCTTTCCAGTACCAGTTGATGGTTCATTACCAGCCAAATCACAAATATCTAATTAACCAATAAAATCAAAACAATAAAACAGAAAACAAATAGTTTGTCAGTGTATCTCATTTGAAGCTAAAATGTGCAACTCATGTGTTCTTTAGCCTCATTACACTAATACAAAATATCTGAAGTGTAAGATCTCTATCAGATTATAGTTGTTTTCCAAGGATAACCAATTGCAAAGGAAGCAATTCTCTTATTTATTTCCTCACTTCAAGCCGAAATCTTCCCTTTTTCTAATCAGCGCTCAATTTTGCTGTTTGTCTTGCTTCTTCTCATTTTCGTATTCTATTCTTGTTAATTTAACATTATAATTAATCTAATCGTTGAGTTAACTGGTTAATAAGCCCACTATACATATTCATAATACATGTCGATAAGCTAAGAAAAACTTATATTTACTTTTTTTCCTAAAATGATAACTTGATCAGTTCACACTTTTTATGTTGATCATATGATGACTGCGGCAAGTCAATATTTCACTACTCATCATTCTTGACATCCTGAATAGAAATTTTTATTTTCACAGAAATCCAATGCTGCATTATCTAGAACGTTTACGAATGTATTTCAGGGCCTTTTTTCGTTGCTAATGAACTCTGGAAAATGAATCCAATGTCTGTTGTTCTCACTTTCTCTAAACATTTACTCATAATCCGTCGATCTTTCTTACCTATCCTTCTGCTATCAAGAGAGGAAGCGCAAAACATCGACTTAAAATTTTTATTCATTATATTTTCCTTCAGAATACATAATAAAAATGCCACAAAAATAGTATGAATGAAATTTTCTTACACATATGACTCATTATGGGTTCTTCATGAAATTCATTAATTGTAATAAGTGTAATACATAGAACAGCATGTGATCTTGATGATGCTTCATTAAGATTTGTTTTTGATGTTGCACGATTCGAATAACCAAATTTAATAATATCTTCAGCTTCTCTTATATCAAATACAGGTATTTGTATAAGATTTTTAATAATTGTTGAATGATCATTTTGCATAAGACGAAGATTTTTACGTGTTTTCATATCTTTTGGTTGAACAAGTAAATCAAGAATATTTTCATTATATAATTCAAAAAATGAGATCCATACAGAATAATATTCATCTATTTAAAATAATTTAAATTTTTATTTTATTTAAATTTAAATTTTTCTTTTTACCTTCAATAGATAAATCTTCAAAACTATTTTGTTGTTGAACAATATTTGGTAAACGAATTCGACGCTAAGATAAAAAAAAGAACACAAAATCAATCAATTATTCTTAAATTCTAACTTACATTATTTTTTTTATCATCTTTAAAAATATAATTTCTTGCATTTATTTCTCGATCAAGATTACTATCAGTTGTTGGAATTAAATTTTCTAAACCATCTGGTTTAAAAAGAACTTTATCATCAATATTTTGACCAACATTTAAAAATATTCGTTGAAGACATTGTGGAATTAAACCTGGTTCCTCTGCTGTACCAAACATTGTATGAGTTTTACCTAGAATTTTTATTTATCAATTAAATATATTTCAAAAAGAAAATAAAAATACTTACCGCTATTTGTTAGACCAAGTGTACAGAGAAGCCAATTTGAACCAGTAAATATTTCATTAGTTGGTTGTTCGAGAATTTGTTCAAATAATTCTTTTTGTGTACAACGATGATCAAATATTCGACTTACCTGAGAATAAAAATTCATAATTCTGTCTTTTTAAAGCAATATATAAGAGATATAATGAATGAGAATACTTCTTCTATTAAAAAGTTTTTTTTTTAAAATCTTTTCTCTTGTCGAAAAATATTCGTTGACATAACTTCAAACAGATTTCATATAATGTTAATTGTTTTTCAACGACTCCAACTATTTAATTCTAATTCAAATAGTGATTGAAATAATCAACAAAGTTTTCTATCAAAAATTTTCAAGAGCACAAAATTCTAAATAAAATTAGAGATAGTCGCATTTCCGATCACTTTTCCATGAAAGGTTATAACTATCACAAAAAATAACAAACTAACCAACTTCATCATAGTACTGCTAAAAAACATTTCTTTATTTTTTTTTGTGATGCTTATAACTTTCTAAGAGAAAACTGAAGAAACTACGGCAATACTTCATTTTATTCAGGATTTTGTATTCTTTAAGATACTACTCTTCAAAACTGATTTTCAGTCTTCTGACACTTGAAAACTACCGTGATTGATTTTTTTAGAAATCGTTCTCCTATAGTCCATGTATGAAATAAATTTGATAGAGAACTTCATCGGCTATTCATAGTACTATTTTGATTTAAGTTAACTGCTTAGGATCGTACAAAAAGAAAAAAAAAATATGTTGATCATATATTTTTTATCAGAACTGTAGCTATATCTTATTAGGAAAAAAATTACCTCATATTCATTATATGATGCTTGTATATTTCGAATAGTATTATTAGTTGCTGGACAGACTTTGACAGAAACATGTTTTTCATCAATAATTTGAAGTAACTTCTGATTTTCGCCACGTTCAAGTTCATCACCTATAAATGGACGAATACGCACATAAACATTCAATGGAGGAGGGTCACGACGTTTAACTGCTGCAGCTGCTGTTGTTGTTGTATCAATTGTCGTTGATGTTATTCCTATATCTGTTGTATCCATTTTTTGGAACAACTAATTTGACAAAAGCAATTCTCCAGAGAACAATATTTATTCAATACTAGAATAATCAAAGAATATAAGTCAAGAGCTGAAAAATGAAACAGATGGTTCAAAAAAGACAAAGATTATTTTAATGATAACACATTCGTGCTTGATCAACTTTTATATTGGTTATTTCATTTGGCTGGGAACAAAGGTTTAGCATCGAGAAATATAGTTTTAATAATCTAATTAGTACAAAATGTATATTTATTTTTTTTTGTACTTGAATATGAATAGAAAATATTAAATTATGTTTGAAACGATTTTATTTTACTTGATAGATGTCATCAGTGTTCAGAACTGTGTATTGTCATATTCCTCAAAATAATTAATCAAATAACAACTTATGATCATCTTTCTGAAAAATCTTGATCATTCATAGAATGACAATATAGACTATATAAAATAATCAAAATATTGTTCCGATTGTTTTTTTTTTATTGTAACTGGCCTATAATCAACAAATAAAAGGTGATATTCGAAAATGTTATAGTATAGTATGATTCGATAATTTCAATAAAGATTATTTTTTATTGAGACAACAACATTTTATGTATCGAAAATATTGACAACACAATTGTGCTGTTATTATATACTTTTTATTTTATTTAACTAAAACGAAATATATTCTTGGAATTTAAAAGTTAACATTCTACTATTAAAATAAGATATTACGAGTGAAATACGTGAAAAAACATATATTGCACAACAAGTTTAAACGTTAATTGGATGATTCAGAAATATATATTTCTACGTAGTCTGTAGAAGGAATAAACTTGGAAAAAACCAACCACTTTTTTTCTACTTCAATTTTTCTTCCTTATTACACTGTGTATTAGAAAAGACGTGCTAGTGGTATTAAGCTTTTCTTTTGTCAATCAAAATCCAAACAATGGCGTCATCTCCACCTCTTGTGGCTTGTTGGCTTGATCAAAGCATTGGTGAAGCTGGTGCACATCTTACATTAAAAGAACGTTTCGAAAGTGTTTCAAATCGTATTGTAAAATGGCATTATTTTGACTCGACTGATCAATTTAATGAATTCATCGATGGAAACCCTAATGTAAAACTTGTTGCTATTATGTGCGGTCATCTTGCTAAATGTCTTGTTCCACTCGTTTCTGATCGAGATGCTTTACATAGTGTTTACATATTTTGTGGTAATAAAGAGAAATACAAGTCAAAATTTTCAGATGAAAAAAAAGTGAAAGGTATATTCAATTCGGAGGATGATTTATACCGACAAATACAAATTGATTTGAAGAGAGAATTTCCATAGAAAAACATGATTTTAGTTCAGCTTAATTATGATCAATGTATTTAAATATTTTTACATACAATGAATCATTTAATTTTTTTTTCTGAATGTTATTCGTATCTGTTTTTCAAGTTCTTTTAATAAATAAGAAAAGAAGGAATGGAATTATATCAGTTGATTATGATGCTTCAGTTTGGCAATATAGTTGATCGAAGTTGAGTAATATTAAAGAAAGCTCATTTTCGAATAAATATCATGAATATACATAGTGATTCTATTCATTGGTTCTTTGATTTTATTATTAAATACTAATTATCATATTCTGTACAGTTATACAAAATTTAAGTGAAAGAAAAGAGAAATATATCTATCCTGAGATTTATTTCTATTAGAAAATTATTTGTTCATATTTTCAATCGAAAAACATTTTTATAAGAAATAAAAGTAAAAAATAAAAATCTTTTTCTTTATAACAGTATCAAATAATTGAAATAAAAATCGAAAGAAAAAAAAAGCCCTATTTCGATTGTTATTCATCAACATTTCCTTCAAATAGAAAACTATTTTTTAATTTAATATTTGGATTTTCCTCCACGTCAGCCCAAAATTTTCTTACAGGATACCAATCTGTATGTTTTGATAATGTTAATACTCCAAGTACAACAGGATGATGAGATAAAGATGATTTTTCAAGAAATATCAAATCAACTGTAATATCACTAACTGCTGTTTGTTCTGCTGTTTGAAAAAAAAATTCTTCATTAAATTTTGGATTTAATGAACGATCAGCTACTTTTGTTCGTTTGATATCATAGATATCAAATGGACCTTGAAAAATAACTTCAACATATGTTTCTAAACAAGTTAAATAATAAAAAAAATCTTAAAATTACAACAAGAAAAGACAATCATATTATACCAGGTGCTCGTAATAATCGTTCGGCTTGTGAATGGCTAACTTTAATAATATGAATTGATAATTGACATTTATCAGTCCAATATGCTGCTTCGATTTCTACTTGTCCAACATTAATACCACGTGAAAGCTTAATAGAAATTAAAGCCTGATTTTATAACGATTTTATCGAAAATCTAAACTTACAATTTTATGTGGCCGACTAACGGGTGTAAGTTCACGTAAAAAAACTCTTGAAGCTCCATGTGGAACATTTTTAACATGTAAATGTGCCATATCCCAAAATTTTGGACCAATATATTTATTTATTGATAAAGATTCAACTGTCATAACAATATATAATTCAACTTCTTGTTGAATAATCCAATCTCCCGACCAAAATATTAATTGTGCTGAATAATTTGTACTTAAATGTGATTCATTCAGAACTTTTTCTAAAACAAGATCATGTTCAATTGGTTTTTTAACATGAATTTCGCAACGTAAGCGAAAACCACTTAAATGAAATTTAAATATAATATCATGTAATATTATACGTAAACAACTTTCAGTTTCATCACGTTGTAATTCAAGCATTAAACAAAATTTTAAATAAATCATATCAGATAATTTATTTGGTTCTTTTTTTAATAAATTTTTACGATGTTCCTCAAGTGCTTCATCAAATTCAATTAAATCATGTGCCTCTTGAAAGTCTGTTATTGGATCAGTTTTTTCTGCTTTACGTAAAATTTTATCAACAGATGAATCTTGTTCTGATAAACATCTTGATCCCAGTGGTAATGTTTCATCAATACTAAGTACTTCACGAAATGATACTTTCTGTATTTTATTAGCTGCTTCAGCTAAAGCACTAAGACCAAGTGATGTATCTAAATGACGTTGTCGTTTAGCTTCATCTAGATCTTCAGACGAAACAAGATATTCATCCATACGACGTATAATAAGTTTAGCTCTCTCAAAATCTGTTGTGGTTTCTTGACGAACATCTTCTAAACGTCTTGGAATAACAAATGGAATATCATTTATACACATGATTTCGTTATGCTTGTTATTATTATTATTATTATTATTAATATTAGTGCCAAATACTATGCGACCCTTAAAGTACAAGCAAAGATTGTTTTTTTTTATATCTCGTTTACTTTGTAGAAATAACAACTATACGCTGTATACAATAGACATTGTACGATACGTACGGATGGTTAATAAACTTAGATTATTATAGGTTTATAAGTAATTTTCGAGAACGTATAGACACGTAAGACCCTGTTTTTTTTGTCTACTCCTCCAAATTCTATAATAAAAAATGATCTCTATGCATATGTTTACATACTTCTGATGTAGATTCAGGTTTCCGTCGTTTGATTAGATGTAACCACTGCATAAATCGTGGTAAAAAGGAATTCTTATCTTTGTTGTCATCATTTAATTGATTATCAATATGAATTCGATGTAAATTCGAAATGTGAGATTGTGAAATATTTTTATCGATTAACGTGTTCATATTATTTCATAAACTATGTTGTATATTGAAGGGAGAAAAAATATTGTACTATAATAATTTTGTTCTTGTACGTGATCCTTCCATCGCTTCTTTCTTCGTATATATATATTTATTTGCTTTCGATAGTGTTACACATTATTTTTTACGAGTTTGTAACAGAACAGACAATATATAAGGGTCAAATAAATAATCGAACCAACTAGTAAAGGATTGGTACGAAAAAGAATAAAGTCTTTTTTTCTCGTTTTTTTTTTTTACGTAAAACTATTAACGTATACGTGTATTTCTTCCATCTACTGTACACAATGATGAATGCAAAATATCGAGAACAAAAAAAGAGAACCTCTTAAAGTCTGTTAAATGATTGTTACTTCAATACAACCGAAAGAATCAAATGTTTGATATGTAAAATCAATAAAAAATACGTATTTTAACTAAAAAAGAAACTGAAAACCTACTTATGTATGAAACTAGAATGACTTCGAAAATACTTACGAACAAAACTTGTCTAAATTATCTTATGACTATTCATAATAACTAATGATTTAATCAACTAAATCTAATGTAAAAGTAATTTGAAATAAGACTGAGACATTTGGACTATATAATTGTTATGGCATTTGTTTGACAGTATCGATTGACATCATAGATACATATGTAATGAAAAAGAATCTTATTCTAGATCCTCATTACTGATTCACATACATTTTTTCATGTCTAAATTCATATCAATTTATATAGAAACAAAAATTCGAGGATAAAATAAACGATACAAAAGATTGTTTCGTAAATGTATTATAAATTACTATTTCTCCTAAATAAGTTTCAATAGTTCGTATCAGATTTAATATTGTTGTAATCAAGAGTATACATTAATTAATATTTGCTGATGAAAGTATTTATAGTCATTGTTGCATATGATATATCTTTTGAATGTTTAAAAACTAATTCAATACATATATTTTATTTGATATGTAATAAT